AGACTGACAGACGAGTACTGCAAAAATAAAAATACTGCAATTTGACTTCCATTTCTAGAACATGGAAGTCCGTTTCCGCCTGTTTAATACATTTAAACATTTTCTACTTTTTACCTCAAAAAGTTTTGGTAATGCTTGAAGCCGTTAAATACAATACATTATAAAATTATTTTAATGCATTAATTATGAATTGTAATGCACCTTATAATGCATTGCATGATCTCATGAAAAACTGTAACCACGATTATAATAAATTATAATACTTATCTATTGTTACACCTTTAATCAGTATAATGCATTAAAACAATTTCAGATGTAACAATCTGCAAATATTATAATGCATTTAACTTTACAATTACATATAATACATTATGAATACCTGTATAATGCATTATACATAAACTGATCTAGTTTATTTTTTAATATATATATATATATTTTAATCATGGTGTTATTGTGAATGATTCATCAGTGATGTTATACCAAATAAATAAATGTTTGTCTTCATAATCTTTGCAATTTTGTAACTTGCATAATTTTTGAAACAACTTTCCTTTTCAGAAGAGATCGCTTATAATTAGATTTAGATTAGATTCACCAAAACCAAATAGATATCGAGTTGTTTATTCCGTTATGACTCCATTCTGGTATAAAAAACATACTTTACTCCATCATATCAAATCCTGATGGATAATCTTGCTAAATATACTTTTTCACTGGGAAATGCGTCATATTTCAGAAGTAAACAAACTAGAATAAAATGCATGCACAAATATTAGTAATTAAAAATGATTGATTTTATTATCGAGATCACATTCTAATGAAGGATGTTGTTCTTTAAGCTTCATGAGACCTTGAACATCCCGTCTCAAGTTATTCCAGTTTTCCATTTAAAACACATTTTGACACACAGGGCCTCTTCATATCAAACAAAATGTAAAAAAACAACAAAAAAACATCTGTGGTGGTTTGTGTGGTTACCAAGTCATTAACTAGTCTGCTGATACTGATCAAATATACATGAGACGGTGAGGAAAGAACTTATTTAAGAGCTTGTGAGTAATGGTGCTGAGTTCAGTCTATCTTAAGCTGTGTTCAGACTGTAAAAGTCAATTATTTTCAATGAGAGTTGGTGATTTTAAACTTTTATTGAAAATGCATGACTTAAAGGAATAGTTTACCCAGAAATGAAAATGTGCTGTAAATGTGCTCACCCTCAGATCATCAGGATTAGGATGAGTTTGTTTCTTCATCAGATTTGGATAAATGTGTCTCAGCAATGGGTGCTCTGCAGTGAATGGGTGCCGTCAGAATGAGAGTCCAAACAGCTGATAAAAACATCACAATAATCCACAAGTAATCCAGTCCATCAGTGAACATCTGGAGAAGACAAAAGCTGAAACAAATCCATCGAGATGTTTTTTAACTAAAATACGAGTCCATAATCCATAATAACGCTTCCTCCAGTGAAAAAGTGCATCTGCTGTTGTCTCTCACATCAAAATCCAGCTACATATTAGTTTAGAGCTGTTTAAACTGTGCTTGATCTGTGCAGATTTCTCTCCTGATTCAGACCAGAACACTTTTTCACTGGAGGAAGCGTTATTATGGATTATAGACTCTATGTATTTGAGTTAAAAACGTCTTAATGCTGGATTTGTTTCAGCTTTTGTCTTCTCCAGATGTTAACTGATGGACTGGAGTGCTGTGGATTATTGTGGCTTATTGTGATGTTTTTATCAGCTGTCTGGACTCTCATTCTGACGGCACCCATTCACTGCAGAGCATCCAAGTGGGTGAAATATTCCTTTAACGTTGCTTGGTCTTAAATCAGCATTAGAAGGCGGTTGCATGCGATCTACAGAAGTTTGAGTTGTAAATGGTTTTGATTAGCAGCTGATATTGCGGTATGGAGTATCTGCATTACCTGGGTATTTGTTCTTCTTTTTTTTGCCAAAAAGCTATAATAGCATGTATAAAAGTGTTTCAAGATCGAGATTACATTGTAGCATGCGGCAGATTTACAAACATCTAGTTAAGACATCAGTGCATCTTTACAATAACCCAGATTGGGTTCCCCAAAACACACAGGAATCATTTTCCAAATGCACTTCAATAAACTTTCCCAATCCTTGCATGTTTGTTTATGACATATTAAGTCTAACTATGATTTTAGCTACCAATATCAGGTCAGTTCAACACATTAGATTGCGTTTGCTACTGAAAACACTGCCTTAAACCTGTCTGGCCTTATTTAATGGGCTTGTGCTGATAAAACCCTCATATAAAAATGAGCTTCAGCCAACAAAACTACAAAAGCACCATATCAAGATACAGAAAACAACATATGAAAGTTCATCTTCACCTCTGCGTTCCTGACAGACCTGCTCTCATCCGCTAGGAAAATAAAACCAGAGCATTTAGCTGCGAAAATACATAAAAAACAGCAATATGGAGTTGATAGACTTTTACGCGTTGCATTTCAGTTTCGCTACACCCCGTTTCCCGGATCTACTGATATTATTCTGGATTAATGTGTCACCTGAAGTCAAATTTAGTTTAAGATGGTCAAACAGAAGGTGAAATCCACAAAGACTGATGATATCTTACTCAACAAACACACACAAAATCATCAGACGTCAGTGTTGGGGAAAGTTACTTTTAAAAGTAATGCATTACAATGTTGCATTACTCCCTAAAAAAGTAACTAATTACGTTACTTAGTTACTTTTTATGGAAACTGAAAGTAATGCGTTACGTTACTTTTGTGTTACTTTTTAAATCTGGGCAGGGCTTGCTTGTTTGTTTTTAAAATAAAAAAGTTCTATTTTTGGCAAATATAAAAGCCTTTTCACACCAAAAGTGAAATGAATAAGCCTCAGGCTGAAGGGAAAGTACATTTACGTCCATACAGTAGAATGCAGAAGAAGAAATTTCAACACACTTCAGCAATAAACAAAGACACACAAATGTTCGTCTAGAGTAATTTTTGATTATTAGTACGGTTGAACTGGATCATCGAAGCTCAGAAGCAAATAGAATGGGATTAAATACATAAAGGATATTTGTGTTGTTTAACATTTAATTATTGCAGGTTTGCGTCATATTCTGAGTTGCCTTTTTTTATTAATTTTGAGGAATACTGAATCTGTGTTGTTTTTCTTAATGCATATTCATATTTATTTTAGAACTACAGTAACATCTGATTTCTCTCAACAGGAGAGCTGTCAATCAATAAATTGGAAAAAAAAGTAACTTGCGTTACTTATTTAAAAAAGTAACTCCGATATTCTCTTGTAAATTAAAAATGCGTTACTTTACTAGTTACTTGGAAAAAAGTAATCTGATTACTTAACTCGCGTTACTTGTAACGCGTTACCCCCAACACTGTCAGACATTCACATTAGGAGGATTTTAAAGTCAACATGACCTTATTTACTATTCATTTTTCTCCAGTTTCATTCAGAACATCACATTACGGAGATAAAATGGGTTTCATGTTGATTTTAAAGTATGGTCAGCGTTTGAAACATGCAGACAGACTCTCGCACACAACAAGCATCTGTAAGAGGTAAACGTGTGACTCCAGTTTAATCTCTGTCGCAATCCGGATCTCGTTCAGTTTGTTTGTGCGGCTGATTCTTCAGCAAACGCTCTGGATGTCCCTGTTATCAGAGACCTTCACAGGAACCGCGGCGATTCATATTCCAGCATTGTGTCTGAAGCAAAAATAATATTGTTTATATACATATACATGTTATATAGAGAGAGACTGATAAATATTTGACCTTTAGACTATGTACAGCGGAGAGTGAACAGCATTTACACATGCTAATATTTACAGCAGAGTTTGTGACGTATTATTAATAACATATTCATTCATATCAATCAGACGTATAACAATCAACGGCCTTTGTTCGGTCAGTACAGGGTTCCCAAAGTCACGGAAAACCTGGAAATCTCAGGGAATTTTAACCCTCGAATGCATGATGTGTTCACTAGAGGAGATATTTTAATCATTTAGGGTGGGATAGATGATCTCCTAAATTCCCCTTATCATATGTCATTGTGTTTTTCATTTATGATGCACAATACATCTACAAGATCTGCTACTGTGTTTTATTGCAGTGGTCAGATGTGTAATATACTCTCTTAAAATACATAATTTAAAAATATAAGATCATATCTGTGGATGTGGAATTATGATGTTGTTTAGAAACATTCATGTATTTTTTTTTCAATATATTGATTCACTAGTTAATGCATCAAAGAGTTAAAATGTGATTTGCAGGTCTGGAAAAATTCATTGAAATTATTCCTAAAAAGGTTTGATATCAGTACAAATGCACTTTACTTTATCCAGCATTCATTCAGTTTTTTTTTTTTCTCTCGCATTGAGCCTCTGTTCACACAAAGCACTTTATAAACTAACATTAGTTTTTCTTTTTAAGAAAGTTCTGATGTGAATTTTTTTAATCCACATGACTGTTCAAAAGTTTGGGGTCAGTAAGATTTTTATTTTTTGAAAGACATTTCAAAAGCAAGGACGCACTGAATTGATCAAAAGTGACAGTAAAGACATTTATAATGTTACAAAATGTTTCTGTTTCAAATAAATGCTGCTCTTTTGAACTTCCTGTTCATCAAAGAATCCTGAAAAATAAAATGCATCACAATTTCCACAAAAATATTGTGCAGCACAACTGTTTTCAACATCGATAATAATCAGAAATGTTTCTTGAGCAGCAAATCAGCATATTAGAGTGATTTCTGAAGATCAATGATGCTGAAAATACAGCTGTGCATCACAGAAATAAATTACAGTTTAACAGATATTCACTTAGAAAACATCTTTTTAAAATTGTAATAATATTTACTGTTTCTACAGTATTTTTGATCAAATAAATGCAGCCTCGGTGAGCAGAAGAGACTCAAAAACATAAAAAAAATCTCACTAACCCCAAACTTTTGAACAGTAAATTCTGACACGCGTTGTGTGAACGGCCCCTAACAAACACAATGAGGTTTCAGTGTGTTTGTGTGATTTTCTACACCCAGCAGCGACCCGGACACATCACACGAACTTCAAGGCAAAAGTGCAAGAACTCAGATAAGGCAAATAGAAAACAAACCACATGAGAAAAACTGCAAATACATGAAAACACAAAGACGACATGACCAGCGTTTCAGATCCTGTCTGTGGATCAGTGCAGAGGATCACACGGACAATACAACATCATTAGTGCGGTGAAGGGAGGGAGTGAAGGATTGTGGGTAATCAAAGGGCGGTGCTCTCCGACTCCTCCTCCGACTCCAGAAGATCCACAGAGTTCCTGTATCTCCCATTCAATTCCACACTTATTACGGGAACGTCCAAATCACAGCACGAGTCTGAGGACAAACACAAAACACTGAGTGTGAAGACAAGTGGAGAGAATGAACATAAAACAGAGAAAAACATCATTCATTGGTGATGGTGTGGTTTGCAGAAATTCACACACTGGATGAGAAGCGGCATTATAATGCATTATAATTATATAGTACCAAATCCTTGTTAATGCACTACATACATTTTTTCAAAAAATTCTTGCTAACCCAAAACTTTTGAAACGTAGTGTAAGTTTTGAAGCATTTGACAGTTTTTAGCAGATGCATTTAACAGTCCATCTGAAAAATTGTAAAACCTCCAGTGGCTGAAAATTTTAGAAATAAATTAATCAGATGTGGTTGACTAAGAAGATTGGGGATCGCTGCTTTACAGCATGACAGTCATGATCACTATGAACCATTGCTGTGAAAAAAATCACATCTGGTTTGCTCCACAGAAGAATGAAACCGCTGTAGTTGGATGTTTGGTCATGAGGATGTCAGATCATACAGGAACACGTGAGATGGGTTTGAGTGGGTCAGTGTTGTGTTTGAACTGAAGGACGGATGGTGAGGGACGATCAGACGGATGGAGAGCCATGCACAGCATTAGAGACACACAGCCCGGAAAGCTGGATAACAGCGGGTGAGTTTACATGCAGACACACACACTACTGCTTACCATCTGAACCAAAACCACTGACAGCAGAGATCAGACCGCTGCAGAGATCACAACCACCACAGGAGAGAAGAGAAGAAACCACCACAGAGTCACACGGGATACATAACACACACTCGCGCACACACACACACACGCACACACACATGCACGCACACACGCACACAGTCTGGTCAGCTATCCTTGTGGGGACTCTCCATAGGCGTAATGGTTTTTATACTGTACAGACCGCCACCGTGACACGAGTCCCCATGAGTCTGTGTGTAGTCAGGTTTAAGTCCCCACCAGGATATATAAACCAGTACACACACACTCACACGCACTCACACACACGCGCACACAGACACATTCACTCACACTCACACACACACACACTCACACTCGCACACACACACGCACTCACACACACCCTCACACACACTCACACTCGCA